ATAATATTAATATTTACATAAGTGTTTTCTGTTCTTCTATTTAATTATTAATACTTATTTTTCGCCGTAAAAAATGTGAATAAGGTACTACATAATATTTTTTTTGTATTTATTTTATTTAAATATTAACTTTTTTACTTTTGAAAAATCAATTAATGACAATATCACTTTCAATTTTTATAACTAACATTTTACAAGCTTTATAATTGTCCACGTTTGCATATGATAGAAATCAGTTTTTGATTAACTTAAGGGTGAAATAGGTAGATATTTAATGCAGTTTTTATTTCGCGTCACGTACAGTCAATAAACTTACGATTAGATGATTAATATTTGGAAGATTAAGAAAATTCCATTCGTGACATGTAATTTGACATTTAAGTGATAAATCCACTTTTTTTAACTAACCCATTTCATCATTCATATGTACCATTCTTTTTTTTTTATTTCATTTCAAAACCATTTTTGAGTTAGTAATGTTTCGTAAATTTTTGAGGATAATTCAAACAAAATCGGGGAAGACAAATTATGTTAAAAGTGGATGGTTAAAATTAGCTGTACCTTGCTGGGTGTGGAAAAATCCATTTAATCCTTTTTACGACGATGGAAATGATAAAAAGATGCTTTATTGGTCCCTCCGTACAGTTGACGATACAATCAGAGAAGCCGACAAACTTTTTGAGACGGGAGATTACCTAGAAGTGTATCAATTATTAAATAGAATAAAATTTCGGGAAAACGTGGATGTTCTTTGGAGAGTGAGTCGTTCTTTATATAAAATGGCACAGGATGAGACCAATTCGAATAATATAAAAAGAGAAATGATCGACGAGGCCTACGAAATAATTACATCAACTTTATCTAGGGGAGCAAACAATCCGAACGTTCACAAATGGATGGCTCTCATCGTTAATTTTAAAACAAATCTGGAAGGAACTACATCGAAAGCAAAAAATTTGGGTGTCATTAAGAAACACATGAAAAAAGCAGTTGAACTAAACCCTTATGATGTATTTGTTTTACACATGCTGGGACAACTTTGTTATAATCTTAGCAATTTAAATCGCTTCGAAAGGTTTCTTGCTTCATATCTGTTTGAAAATCCCCCACCCTCGAGTTATGAAGAAGCATACGAATATCTTTCAAAAGCGGAAAGTATTCGACCCGGATTTTATATACCAAATTTGTATTTATTAGGGAAAACGTGCTATCGCATGCAGAAATATTTCCGAGCTAATTATTACCTAAAAATGGCTACAAGTTTACCACCAAGAAGCTCCTATGAGGTTCAATGTGCCAAACGTGCTAAAACATTAGTACAAAACTTATCTGAATTTGATATTTCTAGAGACGCTCTAGTTACTGACATATAAAGTACAAACTTGATTTCTGTTTATTATTTATTTATTAACAGTTTGACTTTTATATTAAATTAGAAAACAATTTTCGTTTCTTTTTTAATTTTTCTTAAGTTTTAAAACATTTTATGGTTATAATTTCTTTCTGGACTAATTAGCAACATAGTAATTAATTTAATAAAAATTACTTTGCTTCTACGTATTTGCATAACTCATAAATATTTACGGGTGTATAAAACGTTCAACGGTTAGGTAGACACAGCCGAAAGTTAAAATTGATGAACGAAAAATGAAGAAGAAGATAACTAAAACTATTTGCTTATGTTTTAAGCAGTTTTAAGGTTATCGAGTAATACATAAACGTGTATTTTAGTGTTTTTATTAATTTTAAAATTTGAAATAATGACAACGGTGAGTATTCTCAGAATTCCACCATATAACATAACCGTTACTTTTTTTAATTATCTTTAGAAGACTAAAATTTCAAAAGAAAAACGTAAGAATCAAAAACGAAATAAGGCACTTAAGCAAGGAACTGCGAAGAAAAAGCAGAAACATACAAATAAACATGTTACAAATGGATTTAAACCTCCTAAAACGGTTTATTCTGACGAAGAAGAAAGCGAAGGCGAGGATGATATGCTTGATATGGTAGAAAAAGAGGACATTTCGTTCCTAAAAAGTGCTATTGCAAATAGATCTTATAATCTTTTGAGTGGAATTAAATTTCAAGGGTATGACAGTAGCTATAGGGTTTCATTAAATTGGTTTAACTATTATCTAAATGTAGATCTACATCTAAAAAGGGTACAAAAAGAAAACATGGTGATGAAGATACTGAGGCATTAGAAGAGCATTATGAAAACCAAACAAAGGTTGAAAATAACGTCAATATAAAGAATCTGTTGCCTATTAAAGCACATGGTAAAATTATTCCTCAAGTGAGAGTGGAAGCAATAGAAGGTTTAAAATATTTTTAAAATAATACTTAAATTTTAAAATTAGTTGTTCTAGAAGACAAAGAAAAAACTGACTCAGAAGAAGACACTCAGTCAGATAATGAAGGAAGTTTTATTTTGGAAGAGGATGTTGTAAAACCGATTACTACTGTCGACCTACTTGCATCGCATGCTGAATCATTGAATAAGAAGAAAATTCAGATAGGAAGTTTATGTGCAGGAATTTTAGAAAATCCAGAAGAAAAATTGGACAATTTGAGAGTGGTTTTAAAAATTTTAGATGAAAATTTAGATGAAGCTTTCTTGACTGTCAGGAAAATTGTAATTGTGGCCTTACAAGAAGTTTTTAAGGATATTTTACCAGAATTCAAAATAAAACTTCAGGAAAATACAGGAGTGAAATGTAAATCTTAATTTATTTCATTAGGTAGGGAGAGCAGAATCGAAACAGGACAATTAAAGATTCATCAAATACTAATTAAGTGCCTTAATAAGGAATTAAATGCATTTTTTCAAAAATTACTGTTTACTATTAGATAAGCAAAAGTACTGGGTGACCTAGCGCATTTATTTTCTTATTAAATTGTATTGAGCCTGTTTTTGATTCTTTTAATGTTGCTCTTCCTAATGGGCATAATTATATTATAATTTTACAATGTCACGTTATTTTTAATTCTTTTTAGTAAAAAAGGAAACATTCAAGTTGCAAAAATATGAAAATACTTTATTGCTGTGCTATAAAAGATTTTTAAAGAAATTGGAAAAGTATATGGGTAAATTGATAAGGAAAAAGGGGAATACTCAAAAACCTACCCTTGTAAGATACTGAATCTGTCGTACATAAAAAAAATCAATTTATAATATACTTTGTTACAGGAACAAGAAAAATTAGGTGAACAATCTTTACAAACAATGTGTGATTTACTTGTGTCTCATCCATATTTCAATTTTTCTGAAAATATAGCACAAGCTGTTATACCATTTCTTTGTAACAAAAATAAGTCCATTAGATTGATAGTTAGCTCTGCATTTAAAAATGTATTCAAAGAAGATAAAAGGGGAGAAATTACCCTCAAGGTACAAAAACAAAAAAAAATTATTATATACTAATGTTATTTTTATAGATTGTAAGATTATTGAATCAGCTACTAAAAAGACACACCCATAATGTAAACACAGAAATGTTAGAGATATTTTTGTCACTTAAGATTAAAGAAGTAAATCTGGATCAAGAAAAAGAACATGAACTGAAGCAGAAAAAATTGCTTTCACACAAGAAAAGAGTTTTACAGTTATCCAAAAAAGAAAAAAAGGTATTGCGATGAAGACATTATACGTGATAGTATTTAAATAAAAGCTTTTTTTATTTAGAAAAAGAAACAACTGCAAGAGTTGGAAAAGGAGCTGTTGGAGACTAAAGCAGAGGAAAATAAAAAAGCAAAACAACAAAATTTAACTGAAATTACCAAAGTTGTGTTTGGCGTTTGTTTTAGGATACTAAAGACTTCCAAAAATACAAAAATGTTAGGAATTGCTCTCGGAATTTTATCAAAGTAAGNAAACCAATATAACCTATATTACAACAAAAAATATTTGAAATCATTATCACTTACAACGTTAAACAAATATTGTTTCTATTATTGTCAGGAACTAATTTGTTAATCAGAACGTTTAAAATAAACTTATTTTATATGTAAATTAGTTAAATTAACTGTTTTATAAATGTAAACATGTAAACATTGACGTCATATTAAGGCAGTTATATAACCGTACCAAATCGTAAGCCGTAAGTTTTCTTCACAAAAATCGAAGAAATATAATAAAAATACTGAAATTTAAATTTCGAAAGTTATTGTACCTGTTTTTTAAATCGTTTTTGTATCAGCTCAGATAGACTAAATAAAATAAAATGCCTTATAATAAAATTAGGAGTTTGGTACCATAGCCACTATTAGTAGGTTACTAAAGCAATTCTTGGACGAAAAGTGTGTGAAATTTTATATTCCTCATGCAACTTATGCTCTCCTAATACAAAAATCGGATTTTAAAATCGCGCTTAGTTTTTAGCAGGAACCAAAAAAGTGTGTCCGGCGCATTCACCAAAATTGATATTCTATTGTAACATATTCTCGGCTGCTTTTTCAAGGACATTTTACTGATTTATACGTTTTGTTTTTATTTGAATAAAAGGACAAGGTAGAAAAAAGACAAATAACGATTTACTTGAAGTTCTCTTTTATTATTAAATATGTTCAACGTATAAACAACAACGTTGTTCTTTTATTTGTAAAAAAAAATAATAAACAAAATTGATACTCACCCATCTTATTTTGAGAGTTTTGTAAGATGAAAGCTATTAAAAAACATTATTATATAGTTGATATTTTTAGGGTGTAAGTTATTTTAAATATGTAATATAATTATTATAAAAAATAATGTTTTTAGATTTGCCCACTGCATAAATATTGACTTTTATGTCGATTTGGTGAACACTTTAAAAAATTTAATGCAAGAGGACTGGTTGAGTTACCATGAGCGTCTTCATTGTATGAAGACAGTCTTTTCAATTCTTAGTGGTCATGGAGAAGCACTGAACATTGATCCATCATTTCTATATGTTAATCTTTATAAAGACCTTTTGACTATTCATGCATCTAAAAGTCACAATGATTTGGAATTAGCTTTAGAGACGCTCACTCAAGCATTAGTAAAAAGGCGAAAAAAGGTCACCAATAAGAGGATCATAGGTTTCACAAAACGTCTCAGCATTTTGGCATTGCAGCTTCTTCACAATGGTAGCTTGGGTTGCTTAGGAATAATACGGACATTATTACAACAGAACCAGTTTATTGATGTTCTTTTGGATTTGGATCCTTCTTTAGGAGATGGAAATTATCAACCAGAGATAGAGGACCCTGAATATTGTAATGCTTCAACAACAGCCATGTATGAAACAGTGTTGTTAAGTAAACATTACCACCCCATAGTGAGAAATTATTCAACGTTAGTTGCCCATGGTGTTCATGTTACTGGAGATAAGAGTATCCCAATTGATGTATCAAAACTGTGAGTATTTTGCATTTCTGGAGCTAAGAAACAAGGTGTCTAATTTTATGCTGACTAGATTCCAGTTTATTTATGATGTCTGCATTTAAGTGCAATAAATTAGATTAAGCAAAACAAGTACAGTAATGCACATATTTGTATTTTTGAATTCTTTATTAACTCTTGACAAATCCAAAAGATATTAAAGCTGCAACACGTTGCAAGTTGAAATTAAAATCAAATATTACATCCTAATTTTACATTACATTTTGTTAGTATTTCTACATTTTAAAACTTGTTTTTATTTACTTTCAGCACTCCAGAAGAACTTTGTAGAGACTTTGACATGGCAGAAATGGCTTTCAATCCCCCAGTTCCTGCCCCAAAACCAATTACAAAAGTGAAAATGGTTGGAAGACACTGTTTTGTTAATTCAGATTTTCATAGGTTTTGCTTAGAGAAATCAAAGTTTAAAAGAGATTGTAAAGGAATATTTTTGTAATAAAAATGTAAATAATTACGGTGCTTAACTAGATGATGTAAAACCCTTTACCATCTCATAATCCTGATAATAACATGTAAAGGATAATATAGCAAGATTGATTGCAATAAATCCATCTTATCTTAGAAATTACTTGTTATCTGCAAAGAAACAACAAAGAGTATGTATTTGTAATTAATATAATACCTTTGTTTTATAGTACTACAGATAATTTAGCTTCTTCAGGTAAGTTATGTAAATACTTCAAGTATTGAAAGACTCCTATTTATGAAATAACAGCAACTATATGATTAATACACTTTCTTGCAGTTAATCGAAATAAGAAACTTGTGTTAATAAATTTTCTTGATGGAACAAAAAGAATCTTATATTACAAGATTGTTTTTTTTATTTTAGAAGTTTTTTGTTAGTTGTAAGGATAAGAACTAGATACTAAAATGTCTCCTTTTCAGGGTATTAAGGGGAGCACCCATGGAATTATGTTGTAGATAATTGAGTTTTTTCATGTAAGGTACGTGTATTTCGAGTATCTAAAGAGCAAATATATGATTAATACACCTTCTTACAGTTAAATGAACTAAGAAATTCTCATTAATTTTACGTAGTTTCATCTTCTTGAAGGAACAAAACAAATTACAAACCAATATAACCTATATTACAACAAAAAATATTTGAAATCATTATCACTTACAACGTTAAACAAATATTGTTTCTATTATTGTCAGGAACTAATTTGTTAATCAGAACGTTTAAAATAAACTTATTTTATATGTAAATTAGTTAAATTAACTCCAATTTTCTTGTATCACATTCATCTCGAGAATGATATCCAACAATTTTATAAATAACAAATGAATTGATTAATCATATCTAGTCCATTTCTTTTGATTTTCATTATATTATGTGACCTCGAACTCGAATACTAATAATAGATACTAAAAAGAATAAAAATCCATGATAATCATCACTTGATCTGAATTATTAAACCACTGCTGAACTTTTTGATTTATTAACTACGATTTTTATGATTTCGTTTACTTTGCATGATGTCTATCTAACACTATCTACACTTTATTTCCTAGAAATATTTGACTGTTACCAAATTGAAAATTTATTATTTATTTCTTTTTTCATTTTATTTCTGTCTCCTTTACTTATCACTGAATATAACTTGATTTCGATATTCTGTGACACTTTTTTCTAAATTTCTTTATCTTACTTTGTTTCGTACTTTCCGGATCGAAAGAGTAATCGGGTCTTTGCAATCAAATTTTAAGTCCCGGACCATTCCCGAAAATGGTCCCGAAATGGAAATATGTAATATTTCTTCTACAAAAAATTTTTATTAAAAAAGATAACGCTTTATGGAAACCAAGTATTTTTACGTGATAGTAATAGTAATTACATTCATTATCAAAAAAATATGAAATGTTAAACAATAAGACCTAATGCCGACAAATTCTTTCGGGACTATTTATGGAACCCATTTTTGGACAAAATCCAGGGACAATTTCGAGATCAAATACCGCAACTGGAAACCTTATTTTTTACTCCGTAACTTTCAATTTATTTTGTGGTGATATGAATAATATTGATGATACTATTGTGATAATTTTATAGTTGAAACTTTTTCTCTCTTTCTTGTACTTCTATTCTGTCATCTCTCACAACTTTTCGTCGATATAGTTTTTTGTAATAGCATTATTTTTTAAGATATATATTGAAAAATAGGCATTTGTTGGTGCGGAAGTAGATATGTATAAAACACGTCGATATGTAATAATAATAAAGTTAATGCTAAATATTAAGAACTTAAACGTACCTTCTTTCTTAAAAAAATTACAATATGCAAAAAATATTGTATGATGGTAAATTATTGATACTTGTTAATGATAATTAGTTACTACTGTAATTTTTAATATTTTTGTTAAAAACAATTTTGGTATAATATTTTATAGTTNGTATTTTAATAGTTATAGTTATTTATACATGTATTCAAAAATTATTTTATGGTGTTTGTTCTATGGCGGTGGTAAAATTACGATTATTTCGAATCAAAAAATTAAGTATTTGTATTTTAATAGTTAAAGTATTTATACAGGTATTTAAAAATTATTTTATGGCATTCGTTACAAAACATCAGCGTGTTTATCTAATTTTAATACATAAATTAGACAAAAAGTAAAGATGGTTTGAGAAATTTTATTTTAAACAAACATTATTATAACAGATCAGATGGTACTGTGTAACAATAAAAAATTAATTGAACATAAACAATAAAATTCAACATCACAATTTTCATTACAACATCAGGGGGGCGAAAATGCAACATTAACACATTTTCCATTGTTTTTTTATTAGAGGGTTTCACGTGGATATTGTTCGATTCGATTGTGTGCTATCAGAATTTGCGAAAAACTGATGAGGACGATGTGCAAGAAATCAGTTTACAACAACATCTAATTTTACGTATCATGATTAATTAATTAACATCATTATTAATATTATTATTATTATGTTAATTTAGGTACATACTTAGAGTCTAGTCACGGAATTATTTATTATAAGAACTATACACACTAAAAACAGGTAAGTGTTGTTTTTTTAAAAGTTAATTAATTAAAAGATCCGATCGGATTTCCAGCAAATACTATTAGGGCAATACGTTGCAGAATTTTTCTTAACATTACAATTAACAGTGTCCATCGATTTATTTATTTAGAATCCTCTTCGAGTTTCGATTGCAATTTTCATTTATCATATTTAAGTATGTACAAAACGAAGATGATGTTCTTTTCAGTAAAGTTCCAACAAAGTTAGTTTGATGATGCATTTTTCACTTCACTTAAATAATCACAAGTTCTATCGTACGGCCGCTATAATCCCTGCTGATAGAAGAAAGAACAGCTGGCTGGCGATGCATTTTCCACATGATTTTCGCATTAGTATTGCGTCCACATTATCTCCTAAAACGAAATGAAAAGAGGAAAGGTTAATAAATTTGAATTTTATTACTAAACGTTGTACAGGGTGCTTCTGAAATAAGTAGCAAGCTTTCGAGGGTGTTAAGGTGATTAAGGGATAAAACAATTTGTAAGAAAACCTTCATCATCATCATCATCATAAGGTCATCAGTCCTAAGACTGGTTGGACACGTACCTCCACTCTTTCCTATCCTGCGCTAAATTTCGCATTTCCCTAAAACTAGAACAGCCCACATCCTTAACTATTTGCGAACAGTAATCTAATCTAGGTCTACCTCTACCCCTCCTAACTCCTGTTTCTGCCTCTAATATGTCTCTGACTAGACCTTCATGCCTGAGAAGGTGTCCTACCAACCTATCTCGCCTATTTTTTATTGACTTCCATAGAGTCCTCTGTTCTCCTATTCTTTCCAATACCTCTTCATTTCTAACCTTTTCTACCCACGATATCCTCATCATCCGCCTATAACACCACATTTCGAACGCTTCTAACCTTTTCTTTTCCGCCGCTCCCACTGTCCATGTTTCGCACCCGTACAACGCCGTGCTCCAAACATACACCTTTAACAACCTTTTTCGAATTTCTAAATTAACCGTTCGCGAGCATAGAAGTGACTTCTTTTTATTAAAGGCGACACGACCCTGCGCTATCCTCTGCTTTATATCCCTACTGCTCCTTCCGTCCTGACTTATCTGACTTCCTAGATATCTAAAATCAGCCACTTCTTCTAATTTTTCGTCTCCTATGTTTATATTCGCTCTTTCCCTACTTTTTCTTCCCTTGCATACTAGTATTTTAGTTTTACTTTTATTTATTTTCATACAACACTGATCTGTCAGTACCGCTTCCATTTTATTAAAAGCTATCTTTAAAACTCCTCCTTGCTAGATGCTAATACTGCTATATCATCTGCAAATCTAAGCACACTAAAAATTTGCCCTTGCACATCTATCCCTACAGTTGTACTGTCTTTAAGAAAACCTTACGAAGTTAAAATTTGAAGCCGGCCCTATCACCTCCTGCAAGCTTGCTATTTATTTCAGAAACACCCTGTGTATCTATACAGACTACTTTGATTTTTGATTCGTTTTAAAAAAGGTTTACATTTTAATTGATATTTGGACTCGTATGATTTTTAATCGGCAATTCAATGTGACTGTTTTTATTGAACAGGGTGTAGATATATTAAGGGTGATCCCATTCAAATTTAAAGAAAATATTCCACCTCTAGGGGATAATGTTTTCGTATTAAGTATTTTAATATTTTAGTTTACGTTTGTCCATACAGGCAAAGTTTTTATGTCAATTTTTATTTTCTAGATATTGGAAATAAAGTCAAAACTATAAAAAAAAATTTAGGGTTTTGGAAAACTGAAATTATTGCTTTATTAATGATTATTTTGGTTTAATAGGATTGTTCAAAGAGAGGAAAATTTTAAATTACAGAGTGTAAATTTTAGCAATATATAAGGAGTTTTTGGTAAAGGATGAAAAGGACCTTCTTCATTTGTCCACAGTTTAAATTTTGAAACTCGTTGTTTAATTTTTGGCAAGTACGAGGTGAAATGCACGAAAAATACTTTTAGCTCTTAGGGTAGAATTGCGCAACATCGTTTCAGCCCTCAGCCTTATTTTCGAAATTTATTTGAGAATGATTACGCAAAAGACGACCCTAATTTCCGCGAGTAAATGTACCACTTCCGGTTCTGAGGAAGAGTCTGACCGGGTCAAGGACATGTTTTCGTTCGCTTCCGTTCCCTCATTGTTTTTAGGCTCTCTTTTGTTCCTCGACGCGTACAAAAATTTTTATTCGCCCTCTCGCCGAAATTGTCTATTGTTTGACGTAAAATTGAAGCGTTCGTCGTCGACGCCGCCGACGCCGTCGTTGGTCGTTCAGCGGTAACATTCACAGAAAACAACTTTCGCACTTGTCGCAAGCAAGCAAGCTCGACTCTCTGTAGACTTATTAATTTCGGGGCGTAGACAATGAAGGCTGCGTCGAGTGGGATGTAACAGGATTAATTCCGGATGAGATGGTCTTTTCACTACGAACAAAAGACCCTGTTCGCGCTTTGTAACGAGCAGTAATGACGAAATTTATTTTGCATAATATTAATAATAGGGAAGTCATCTAGCAGCTCGACTCATCGTGATGATGTGCCCTATTGGAATGCTGTTGTTTAACCGATGACCACAGCAAACCGAGTTAGGGTTAGAATGGAAGGAGTGGTTGTTGAAAAGCAGGTGCACCCCTGCAATATACAGGGTACAAGAACTGAATTTCTACATAACAACGCTTTTGGGCCACTATGGTGTCATCCTAAGTTACAGACTGATAATTTTCTACTTTTTTGATCTTTTTGGAAGTGTATTATACAATAAAAATAATTCTAAGTGGTCTGTATTCTGTCGAAACTGCCAGGCGCGGATCGCGATTTCGATCATTTTGGATCTCATCAGCGCGTCGCAGGCAGCTCCGACAGAACACAGACCAACTTTTACCTGCTGTCTTAACAGTGCGTTTTAGAAAATACCACAAACGGTGCGGTAAACGCCATTTGTAGTACGATGCTACATTTTAGGATTACGTATGCTCCAACAAGGTCCATTTAAATATATGTATATCTACTTGCTGAAACGAATCCCGGCGTAGCTAACCTCAACGTGATAGGCTCGTTACCATAATCGAACAAATCAGAACATAGACCAACTTCTGTCGGAGCTGTCTGCGATGCGCTGATGAGATCCAAAAAGATCGAAATCGCGATCCGCGTCTGGCAGTTTCGGCAGAACACAGACCACCTCGAATTATTTTATTCGATTATGGTAACGTGCCTATCACGTTGAGGTTGGCTACGCCGGGATTCGTTTCGGCAAGTAGATATCCATATATTTAATGGACCTTGTTGGAGCATACGTAATCCTAAAATGTAGCATCGTACTACAGATGGCGTTTACCGCGCCATTTGTGGTACTTTCTGTATTATACAACTTCTAGAATGATTTTGTTGACGATAAGGGAAATGGATTCGATCTGTGTGGGAAGAAGATTTAAGGCAGATTACAAACCTTCGGAAACGTAAACAAATATTGACGCAGGCTCGGTATTGGATGCTGAACAAGTGTAGTTTCCGGAATCAGCTTCGTGAGTGTCAACAATGGTTAGCCGGCTCTTAGTACGGGGTCCAGGTTCGGTTTCAACGCTTATACCGCCTCTGGAAGTATCGTAGTTTATCATATTGTTGTTGTGATACCAAAACACGTATTGGGGAGGAGTGGGACTCTGCAAAAAAAATAAGGCATCTCAACAATATATACGAATCGAAATCTTATGCTTTAACATCATCATCATCATCATAATTACTTCACCAAGTATTTAATAAAACATTTAGCTATGTAATGTAATTTGGTGTGTCTATCTCGTCCGATATTACAACATTCTAATTAATAGATGGAAGTAACTAATGCGCTTAACTTTCAAAATAACGAAAAACAATTAAACCTATTTACATGTTTATATGGTTACTTTATGTCAGGCTATTGTGGGAAAGGTTTTTCGTCCCAATTTGGAGTGGTTCAACTAGTTATTTCAATATTGTGCTATTTTGAAATAGTTTTTGACTCTGCACTATTCTCTGTAAAATTGTTCTCATTTTCGGTAGGTATGATGTAAATAGGTACCTATTTTATAATGCATACAGTCGACAAAATAGTGTTACAGTGTTTCATTATATTTAATTAAGTTCTTCATTTTCGATCCACTAAAGTGTAAAGTAATAAGTTGTATTAAAGAGGTTCTTAGATGCAACCTGCATACGACGCGGCGTGCTTTATCTGGTTCCATGGGCACGATTTTGAGAACCTGCCCCTATCTTTCTCCAAAGTAACGAAAACGGGTTAATTAAGCAATCGAAGCATGTTTTCTCTGCTGCAAGAAAAATAGCTGTAGTTCGTAGCAAAAAAGGCGTTTTTTGTTTGATTAATTAGGAACTTTAATTTTTAATTAGTTCATTATTACCCTTCACATAGAAAAAAGAGAAAGTATGTTAAAATTTAATTACGAATGAACGCAGTGTAGGCGGAACAATGCTAAACGAATGAAAACATTCTCAGGATGCCTTTAACTAACGAAATGGAATTTTAAGAATTTATTAAATCTGTGAATACAGACAATTAGATACACACACACACACACACACGCAGATTAGACTCTTAGGTATTTCTATCTAATTTTATGTGTATCATGTATCAATATTAAGTACAAGAAAATCTACTTGTAACTCGCTCTCTACAATTTTGTTTCTCTATACAATAAATTATTCAGATAAAGATAATAATTATAATTATTTTCACATGAATAAATGTGAGAAATGAGGTATGAATAAATTTTCTTAAGACATTAACTAACATTAGCTTATATAATGAAAAAGTACCTACATGTTGTAAAATATTTTTACCTTTTTGGTCATTACTTAACCCGGATTTGTCTCTAGAATAAACCAGACAAATGCGTTAAATCGTTGAAAATAAAAAAGGGTTATGAGTCTGTACAAATTGCTAGTTTTACAAGAATAGCAAACGAACAATTAAGCCGTAACATTACTGTAACCATTACCATAATTATCTTTTGAATAGGCAATTAATACGGTTTTACCATGCCAACTATTAGTTAGGAAGGATATATGTGTAACGCGATTTTGCTATAGCTTTCGACACCATAAATCACAATATAAATTTCGTGCGTCTTCTCAACCCCCCCACATTTAGATCGATTATTCAAATGCTTCCCTAGGTAAAGTACATAGATGTAATGGGTATCTACACTATTAAATTTTCATTTCCATTATATTACTATCCATCTACTTCACAATTGTGTGTCCATTTCTTGTTTAATTTACTTAATGAGGTTGTGCTTTTGTAGTTTCAAAATGTCCAATTTTTCGTCTTCTTTATGATTTAATGTCCGAGTTATGAGAAATTTGGTAGACAGTTACATACTCAAAACAGGAGAAGATTCTCCTACCAGTAGCAACAAAAAATACATTTGGAAATTTGAATATAAGAATGCATGGTTTCCACATTAAACGGAAAATCCAAAAATACTTGTTTGATTTGACATTTATAAACGATTAGGAGAAAAATTGCACAATTAGGATAACAGTTTTTAAAAAGGTAACTGAAATTCTAATGTACCTCAAAACAGTCATTTTCGCATAGAATACCTCAAATTTCAAAAGTGAGGGCAAATTATTGATCAGATTTCTATTTAGAGCGTCGAAACCTCTTTTTGTTTCTACGATAATATTAAAAAATTCTCTTATTCTTGTTTGTAGATCTCTTATGTAATAGAAAATACCAGAAATGGCGCGGTAAACGCCATCTGTAGTACGATGCTACATTTTAGGATTACGTNGATTGTTTTTTTTATTTTTATTTTTTTTGTAATTGATTATTGCTTTTCAAATCAAGTCTGATATCCGTTCGATAGACAGGCCCATCATGAAATTCTTTTCTTTGATAAAACGCATGATAAAGCACGGAGACGAAACACGTGTCGCCCTTCGCTAAGGAAAGAAAATATCTTTCAAAACATACATACACCTACACAGAGATGAGTGAACATTCCTATAGCATTCTAGCATTCCCAACAGAAAAACAAACGAAATAAGAAGAAAAAAAATACATATATAAAGCCGCATTGGAGCAAAAATTGTATTCAGAAATAACTATGTAATGTTCGACTACAGTATACCGACCTGGACAGTTACAACTCTAGTTCATGGGCAATAAAAAATCTAACTCAATTTTTATGTATAAATTTTATATTGGAAGGTTTTACTAACGCAGCAACCAATCAAAACGTGACTGAGATTCGATATTTGAAATTATATATCTGCACTGGTAAGGAAAAATGTCTACTGAACGTACGATTGGACTTATATTACATTATTATTTGTATGAAAAGTGGGCTGAAGGTGTTAGTATGAATTCCTCTACGTCACGTCGTATTTTTCAAAAGATGATGCCCTTCGACGATTACATGTAATAGAATTATCTCCGTGTTCAATTCTCAACCTGCCAATAGTGTGTGTATGTTACAGTTAAAACCAGTGTTTAGGTAGAACGCGTTTTCCCTAGTTAGAACTAGTTTTTGCTAAATGCCTTTGTTGAAACTAGAATTAACTAGTGCTCAAAATTTAATATCAGCTAAAACTAGTTCTTACTAGACCAAACGCGTTTTTCCGAAGCGAGTCAGTTAAAGTTCATTATAAAAATGTTCCTTTTTTAAATTTTATGGTTGCGTTCAATCACAAATTAGTTTCTCTAATGTTAGTTTTAACTAACTACGTGTAATAAATGTTTAAATTTTGATGTAAAACCTTCAATGTTTTTTTTTTAATTTAAAACACCAAGAAGTATCTTTGATACACCCTCGTAAATGAAACATAGTAAACCGCGATTGGAAATATTATTGTGTTTAAAAAGTCGAAAAATTTAAAAAGGTTTCAAACTAGGCTAACTTTTTATTTCATCATGAACTAGGTAGACTGGAAAGTGATATTGGTTGACATGTATTTCTACATTTTTAGGTTTTTACCATAAAAATCAATTTAATTGTGGGGACTTCAGTTTTTTTGTAGTACTCTTCTTTAATGGGCACAATATCAATGATTATAATGTATCTAACTAATACGAATCCTTCTAGTTCCGTGAATTGTCGAGTTAGTTTTCCTTCCAGAAAACAGAACGTTCGTTTGATCTGCTATTTTTAAACGAATTTCAAAGAGAACGCGTTTAACCAAATTTCAAACTTCGCTTCACTTCGATTCATAGGGCTTTTATGATAAAAAAATTCCCTTTTGATTCTGCGTGTATTTGTTTATTGAAGATTTCGTTGTAAAGAAAAAAAATTGTCTAGACATGTGGTGCTGTACGAATTTAATGAGACTTCTAATTGATTTCACTTGAGGGATGAAAAACAAAAAGGAACAGCATTCTGCAGTAGAAGGTGATTTCCAGTTCGATGATTGTATCGAAATAGGTTGGAATTTTTCCATTTCGCTTGTCATTTAGTCCTCAATATTCGTATAATGTTCAGTATGCCGAAAACGTTTCGGAGCAGATGTGTTCGGTTATTTCGCGAAAGAAAACAATATAACCAGCCGCCGCAGATTACGCAGCATTTAGTCGACGAGCCGTTCATCTCTTGTTAGTATTCTTACCGCGGTTTAATTAAACTTCAATATTTTCGTACGCGACTTTTTTTAATTTCTCCTTTTTTTTTCTAATTCAATTCATATCATTAACTGTAATGTGAATTATTAATGGGTCTTATGAAAGCAAAATGGGGGAACGTTAAGCGTCATCAAGAGCCAGGCCAGGATGATGGGCATTTTATGCTTGACCTGGATTCGTATATATGTATATTCGCAAAAGATGCTTTACTTCTTTGAAAGTTTATTTTGCCACTTAAATTGGATTTCTCCTCTTTGAATGCCAAACGACCTTATAATAATAAAACGGAATTAAAGGAGAAAAAGTACAATTTGCCTTTTAAATAATATAAAAGTTGAATTTATTAAGTCTGTTATATTGAAGTTAACAACAGAAATTAATAATACGAAGAATTTATCAGCATGAGGCACAAATTAGCTTTGAATTATTTTTAGAAAAAATTCTGTTTCTACTGTTTATAAAAATATTATCATGTAAACATGTTTATCGCTTGTTTTTTGTAGGGCTTTTTCCCGATTTTCCCGAGTAGAACTCTTTTTTGTACAATGTCAAGAAAAATCTTATCAATATGTTTGTTCATCTAGATATTGCTTTTTATAGTGAATTTTGTAATGAAGTTTTGACAAGGTTTTGACTTATTATGGAGAGTTTCTTTTGGATTCGCTTAGTAGATCCTAATATTTATTTCTTTGAAAGGTCCTTCGTATGTGTGACTATCTTAATCAAGTCCATAGAATATGGATCTTGTCAGGATCTTACTAGGATGAAAGCTTTCCTTATCAGGCCTACGATCACAATTTCTAGTCGGTTACATGTACTTGCGACTTACGCAAACACTATTTCCTAATTCCTGTGAAGTAGGCATAACTTTTTTTTGTTGGAATTTGACGAAATTTAGTTAAACGTTTCATCATCATCATAAGGTCGTCAGTCTTAAGACTGGTTGGACACGTACCTCCACTCTTTCCTATCTTTCGCATTTCCCTAAAACTAGAACAACCCACATCCTTAACAATTTTTTGCGAACAGTAATCTAACCTAGGTCTA